TTTAGAACAAGAGGTCAATGTGGCAATAGAAAGAATCTCTGGTCAGATCCTGAAAGAAAACCTCAAATGAAAACTCCCAGGAATATTATAGCTAAAATCTAGAATTTCCAGGTTAAGGAAAGAAAATACTGTGAGAAACCAGAAGGAAAGAACTCAAGTACCTTGAAACCACAGTCAGGAGCATATATGTTTTAGCAACTACCACTATGAAGGAACAGAGATCTCAGAATATGATATTCCAATTCCAGACAAAGCTATCAGTTGGCATCTGTTCCAATCATACTGCTTTATATGGATCTAGGACTTCCTCTTACTCTGGTGCCATTGTACTCAGAGTACAATGGTAACAAGGCACACATGTAGCCAAGGAAACTCACAACTTCTTGTACTGAAGAGCCTGCAAATCCTTTCTCTCCTCAGGCTATCCAACTCTTGATTTCCAGGGCTAGCTTTCTCTTGGATCCTTAGCTGGCTCTCTTCTCAGCTGCTTGTGTCCCATTCCCCAAAGCTACTTCCTCCTTGGAATGACTGCCTCTCTGTATCTCTGTCTAAAAAAAATTACAAAATTTTTTTGCAAAGATGATTTCACTCCACATTGGTACATGTAATGTGCACATACTTATGGACAACACAAAATCCAGTAGACCTGAAAGATGAATAGCTCTTGTTGTGAGAGAACTCAGCAGGTATCACATCCAAACAGCAGCCCTAAGTGAAAGCTTACTGAAGTCAGAGCTGGATACACATTTTTTTTCTGTAATGGATGCAGTGAAGAGGAGGGCCATGAAGCTAGTGTAGGTTTCACAATCAAAACTAATCAAAATCTAATCAATAAGCTTGGAACATGCTTCCAAAAAGGAGTGAATGACAGGCTCATGACAATGAGATTGCTACTTGCATGCCATCATCATCAGTGCATATGCTCTCACCATGACAAACCCCGACGAGGTCAAAGAAAATATTTATGAAGACCTGGAGACCCTCATCTTCAATGGGATGAAAGTGGACAAGCTTGTAACTGTGAGTGACTTTAATGGCAGAATAGGCACAGACCATCAGACATGGCAGGGAGTCCTTAGGAGGAATGGAGTTGAAAACAGCAACAGCAAGAGTCACTTACTATTGAAGACTTGTGCATCCCATGACCTTCTCATTATCAATACTGTCTTCCATTTACCTAAATTTACCTAAATTTTGTGGATGTACCCTAATAGCAAACATTGGCATTTAATAGACCATATCATTGTAAGGAGAAAGATGTGAGACAGGATGTCAGAATGATCAAGGCAATGTGTGGCACAGAATGTTGGACTGATCATAGGCTTATCCTCTTTAAGCTAAATATTCACATTCAACAAAAGCAGTGGCCCTAAGGCAAAATGACTACCAGAATTAATGTCAACAGAGTAGAGCTCTTCTCTGAGAGGGAATAGTTTGTTGCTAACTTGGAGGGAAAGCTGAGGCAACAAACAGTTGGCAACTGTGGAGCAGAGAAGGAGTGGGCAACTTTCAGAGATTTGGTGTACAGCACCACATTTACTCATCTGGGCCAGAATACTTGCAATCATTAAGATGAAAATGATGGGGAAATTCAGAAGCTGCTGAACAAAAAACAAGAATTCCACGGGGTTTTCCAGCAAACCCCGTGGTTTGTTTATCCATATCTAAGAAAGCAGCATTTAACTCCATCAAAAGTAAAGTGCAAGTGAAGCTTAGAGGATTCTTGGCTTAGTAAGAAGGCAGATGAAATTCAGTTTTATACTGATAGTAACAATCCAAAATGATTTTATGATGCCTTAAAGGCTACTTACGGGTCAAGGACCTAGGGTGCATCTCAATTATTCAGTACTGATGGAGTCTCATTGATTAGTGGTAAGGATATGATCCTGGAGAAATGGGCCGAACATTTCCATAGGGTTCTCAGCAAATCATCACTAATGCTGAAGCCACTGATCATAAACCTCTGGTTGAAGTTAATCTTTCTCTAGACAAACTTCTAATTAAAGAGGTATTGAATGCCAGTTCCTCTTGTGTGGCAAAGTGCCTGGTGTTGATTCTATTCCAGCTGAGATTTATTCTTTTTTTCTTTTTTTTTCCAGCTGAGATTTACAAGGTAGGGAGGGCACTGCTCATACAAAAACTGATTGGAATCTTCTAGGTTATATCACAAGTGGAGGTTATCACCCAGAAGTTCAAGGACACCTCCACTGTTCATCTCTGTAAAGGAAAAAGAAATGTTACCCTATGACAATCACTCTTAGTCACTGCCACTAAGATTCTGGCCAGAGCGCTCCTTAATAGTCCAATCCTTCAACCGGAAGACAGTCATTTACCCAAGAGCCAGTGTGGCTTCAGAAAGGGCTAAGGAGCAACTGATATAGTGTTTGCTGCCTGACAACTTTGGGAAAAATGCCAGGAGCAGAATAGAGGTCTGTATACAATGTTCATCAATGTAACTAAGGCCTTTGATGTCAGTTGTAAGGGATTGTTTTTGTCAAATAGTATTGCTTCCATGCTTTTTAGCATGATGTTTTCAGTGATATTGTCAGACTCCTTCAACAAGGATGAAAACAGCATCAAGGTCAGCTACCACACTGATGGTAAATTATTTAACTTTAAAAGGCTACAAGTCAAGACTGAAGTGAAAGGAGAGTTGGTACATGACTTGGTTTGCCAATGATTGTGCACTCAATGCAGCCTCTCTGACTGAGACACAACAAAGTATGGATCAATTCTCCTCTGCTTGTGCTAATTTTGACCTAACAACTAATACCAAGAAAATAAAGGTTCTCCACCAGCGAGCACCACACCATCCATATATGGAACCACTGGAGAAATTTTGAATGCTGTGGATGAGTTCACTTACCTTGATAGTATACTTGCAGGGATGTACACATAGATGATGAGGTTGATTCATGCACTTTCAGAGCTAGCTCAGTGTGTGGGAGGCTCCAAAGGAAAATGTGGGAAAGAAGAGGTATTAGACTGCCCCCCAAACTGAAAGTCCACAGTGCCACTGTACTGACCTCTGTTGTATGCCTGTGAAACCTTACTAGCACCATTCCAGGAAACTGAATTACTTCCACCTGAATTGTTTTAAGAAGATTCTGAAGACCATTTGGCAAGATAAGGTCCTTTCTCAAGCTGATGTAATATCTCCTATTTGAGTAGCTCCCCTCAAAATTCAAGGCTGAAGTGGGGGAAGGAGAGAGAAATCCAGTCTGAGTAGTGATTTTCTTTCAGGTTGGAGGTTCTTCCTGGTGGCTCTCACTATACTTCAAGCTCCAAAATTGTCCAGGTCTTAGCTATTTAAAACCTGGCAATGATTGCTTCCTTTTACTTCTGTCAGAGAAAATCATTCACACTTCATAAAGCTACCAGTAGATGTGAACACCTAAATATCCTAGATTATATGAATATCAATAACTTTAATAAATCTGATTAATAATTAAATATCAACCAACATGAACAACCTTCAATTAACTATGTATGAATAATTAAACATTAATCAGTATCAACACCCTTAATGAACTACATTAAAAATTAATTAGATATAAATCAACATGAACACCTTTAATTATATTAATAATTAGTTGAATATGAACCAGTAGAATAGTTTTAATTATATGGATAATTAAGGAAATCTTAACATCAACACCTTTAATAATAACTAGCATTAATTATACCAATAATTAAGTATTGATCAACACTGACAACTGTAATTATATTAGTCATTAATTGAATATTAACATGGACACCTTTAGTTAATTATATTAATCCCTTATACATTAATCCCTTTGATATGTCAACTATGGAGTGGGGTGGGGGCGCACCAAATCCCCTCTCCCTTAGAGTTGTTATTTATATTTTTTTTCTCTGAACAATCAGACTGAAACAGGGAACCACAGAGTTCCAGATCCTCCAAAAAGCCTAGAACGCACCCGGAAGTGAGACTAAGAAACAAGCACTTTGCTTTTTTGTTCTGCTCGGAGGAAATTGCCCCTGGGACCCTTGCGTGTAGTGTGTGGGGTCACTCTTCTGCACCCCATCTGAACCCCCATTATTGGGCGGTGACCCCGGCTAGGGTCCCCCTTATTCCTGTGGGACCGGCGTGCGGAGGACCCCCCGCCCCCCTTCCGTGTCTCCTGCCTGGGCTGTGGGGAGCGCGGGAGGCGGAGACCCGGGGAGCGGGAGCGGGACTGGTGCTGGGGAGTGTGCCGGTCTCTGCCCTGGGCTGCTGCGGAGCAAGCGGGTCCCCTTCTTGGGGTCACTGAAAGACCCGCGAGAGAAGTGTCGGGAGTGGGGGGTGGAACCTCTTAGACTCTTGTAGGTTAAAGAATGAGAGCAAAATCTGTTCATACCTTTCTGTCTCCTCTGACTTTCTCTGGCCCATCCCTCGAATTTTTTCACTAATGATACATTCGTTCGTGTAAACAAGGGGAGGATACTTGGCATAGTGGATACAGAACTGGCCTTGTAGTCAGGAAAACCTGGGTTAATGTCCTGTCCCTGATATACCAATGAATCTGGGCAAGTCACGTCATCCCTCCTTCCGCCTCTCCCAAGACTTTAGATTAAGAGCAGGTGCAAAGTTGCATTACTAGAGGGAGTTTCTCACCAGGAGTTCCATATGTTTCACAGGTCCAGTACTTTAAAAAAAAAAAAAAAAAAAAAGAAACTTTTTTTTTCTAATTCTCTTTGTGATTAAAATATTCTTTTAATTATCTTTATGTCAAGGTAAATGTACTATAGGTATCGATTTTTTTTAGTTAAATGTTTGCTACTAAATCTTACTCTTTCATCCCAAAGTAGATCAGAGAACCTAAATTACAGAACTTCTATTTTTGTAGTCTCTCCACTTAAGGTAGCAAAATGTCTATACATTTTCCTATTTTCACAGAACTCAGATACCATTTCATAATTTGTCCTAATCACTGGTCTTCATTAATTATGATTTCATAACAATTAGCTTGTGATTTCTCTGTCTTAAAAATGTTATTTCTCAGGAATTTCCCTATATAAGAGTTGTTGAAAGGGAATCTTCCTGAAGTTTAGGTAATAGATAGAACTTGTCATTTGTTTGGGCTTTTGAAGTTCAGAATGACTGAAGCTTCAGCTGCCCAGGCTCCACAGGAACTGGAGGGACTTTTGATAGTGAAGGTAGAAGAGGAAGATCGTGCCTGGGGAAAGGAATCTGACCCCCCTGGTAACAAAGCCTATATCCAAGAGATCTCCCACTTTAGACATTTCTGCTACCAGGAGACAGGAGGTCCAAGGGATGCTCTGAACCGACTCCAGAACTGTGTCATCGGTGGCTGAGGCTCGAGGTACACACAAAGGAACAGATCCTGGAGCTCCTGGTGTTGGAGCAGTTTCTGACTATCCTGCCTGATTCACTGCAGACCTGGGTCCGCGATCATCATCCAGAGAGTGGAGAAGAAGCTGTGATGTTGCTGGAGGATTTAGAGAGAAACCTTGATGAGCCAGGAAAACAGGTGAGAAGAGATCTGTCGTGGGGGATGAGGGCCTTTGTGCTGTGGAATTGCAGCCACGGGAGAGGTGCTGTCAGCCTTCAAGGGGCATTTGTCCCAGTGGAGCTACTAGTCTCTTTATCACTTTTCCCTTTCCTGCTCCCTGCTGCCATTAAAGAACCAAATGCCTTTTTTTTTGTTTTCTTTTTTTGGACTATTTTGCTTTTCCTACTGAAAGTTCATTGTAGTCACTTACCTGACATTTTATTTCCAAGCCTCCATGATTGCTTTGCAAGCCCAACTGTATATAATTGTTCCCAGGTCCAAGCCTGTGCACGGGGACATGAAGTGCTTTTGGAGAAGATGACATCTGTAGGAGTATTAGATGATTTACAGAAGGCCCAGTTCCATCTGGTGGAGACCCAGACTCCACGTGAAAGAGGTAAGTATTTGAATTTCATCTGAGAAAGAGATAGCCCAGGAGTCATGTATCATTGTCAGTTATATCTACTCCTCAAATTTTACTCACTGTGGGAGACTAGATCTTCTAACTTCCATCCCAGTGTATTTTCTACTATATGCTGGTCTGGGTTGCCTTCCATGTAAAAATTTACTTTCTATGTATTTTAAGTTCTTTTCCAACTCTTGTCATTCAAATAAACTAATGTCCCATAATCTTTTCCTGCACCATTATCTAGATGGAATTGAAGTCTTGTTGTCATCTGTCACCAAAGCCACATTCCAGATAATCACAATGATAACTTCAAAAATAATAACAAACAAAACACTTTCCTCATGATAACCTTAGGAGGTAATTAGTGCAAGTAATATTATCCCCATTTAATAGATTTGGGCTCTTGAGGCCCAGAGAAGTGTTCTGACTTTTTTGGGTTCAAGGGTTTGTAAGTAACAGGGACAGAACCCAAATCCAGGCCTTCTGAGGCTAAGTCCAGTGTTCTTTCTCATATATCATATTACCTATTCTGTTCTTTTCCACTACAATAAACTCTTCACTAACTTTACCGAACTGTTATAAGAAAACACTCTATAAATTCTAAAGAACTTTACAAATGTGATCTATTGTGATTATTGCCCTCAGTGTTTATTATTAAAAATCTATATACCATAGTATAAGCACTTGAAGTTTTAAAACACTCAAGGAATTTTGAAGCTAGAAGGGAATCTCAATTTTCCCATTTTATAGATGCAGAAATCCAAGATTCAAAGAGACAATAACTTGCCCAAGAAATAGAAATAGAAAATTAGAAAAGAGAACATAGAGCACATAGATAATTAGTGACAAAGCTAGAACTAAGATCATAAGATATAGAACTTTAGAGAGGAACTTAGAAGTCATCTGATCCACCCCCCTTGTTTTTCAGGTAAAGAAACAGGGGTCTAGAGTGAAATGACTTGCTCGTGGTCACATTGCTTTTAAGCGTTAGATCTTCTGATGATTCCATGGCCAGTATTCTTTCCACTTCACCACTCTGAGTCTCCCTACTCCTAGTCTAATTTAGTTTACCCTATGATATATTCACTTTGATTCATTTAGGCCCTCCTATGGTCTTAGTTGCCTGCCATGTAAAATTTTACCACTTCTTCATTTTAAGTGCCTTTCTAAACCTTGTTACTCAAGAAACTAGTGTCTCATTGTTCTCTCCTTATACATTTTCTGCTTATCACATGTTCCTGGCAGTTCCTTCCATTGCTACTCACCTTTCTCCTCCGTCTTACTACTTGCCTTTGAAATTCTACAAACCTACTTCCTATACAGTACCAGCTATTTTTAGAGAATTGGATTCTTTCACTTTTGTGCCTGTTTGTGTTATTTAAATTCTGAGAATGTAAATGGCCTGGGTACATTTGCCATTTCTTCTCAGAGAATAGATTGGGGAAGTTTTTGTTATTGGCTTGCCCATTACCATTATTCAGACTTCCAAAGGCCTTCCCCATTTTCCATCTTACTCAAGAAGAGGTAGATGCTGGCATTTGGAGTCATTTTCCCCTAATCTAATACCAAATGAAGTGTATTAAAATTCCTTGAGGCTAGGCTTAAATTTTTAAGGAACCAGGGATATCTTTAGGAGATAGTAGCTGAAACATTGGGAAAAGAACTAAGGGGACTATGTTAGGAGACATTGGATTTGAATATAACTATCAGAGAGCCATGTTCTCCCTTGTAACTGATCTCCATTGAGAGCTTCCAGGAATTGCTTCTTGGACCTTATATAATCTAGGTTGCTGACATACCTTTTACATAGGTGCCAAATACCCGGAAAGCCTCAGTCTCAACCTTATCTACGGAGTAGTTGTCTTTCCTTGAATTCCTTGGCTTTGAATAAAAGCCTTTGCTACACAGCTACAACCATAAATTCCTTCCTACTAATCTTAGCTTGCTTATTTATTCTGAATAAAACCATTTGTAGTAATTATTCTTAACCAGAAGTGTTAAACATGCAGCCCCGGGCTACATATAACCCAACACTCCTGAGTGCAGCCTGCCTCTTATTAAAATGTAATGGGGCATATTTAACAAAATTATTAAATTTAAATTATTAAAAAAGTTAAATTTAACAAAATTAATGAAAACACAATAAAACATAGATAACATTACATTTTAAAACTAAGTCAATATGTAGCCCACAGGTGGCTTGACACTACTGTTTTTAACTACCCTCTGGTTCTCATTTTTTATTCTGTTGCCTCTTCTGACATCTTCCAAAAATTCCACCCTCACACTTCCAGTGTCCCCTTTTTCTGATTTTCCCATTACATCTCTGCCTTATTTCACCTCTGAGAAGCCTCATAAAATCTCATAGTTGGAAGGGAGGCTGTTTAGTCCAATTTGTACCTGAACAAGAATTTCCTCTAAAATATATTTTACAGATCATCATTATATATTTGCTTTGAAATCCTCCAATAAAGAAGTACCCACTGATGCTTTAGGTGGCCTGTCCACTTTTGGATATCTCCAGTTGTTAGGAAACTTTCCTCACATCAAGCCTAAATGTGCTGCTTATAATTTAGACCTGTTGCTCCGTATTCTACCCTCAGGGGCCAAAGAGAACGAGTCTGATCCTTTTTCCATGTGACAGCCTTTCAAATACTTGAACACACCAATTCTCTTGCCTTATTATCCTAGGTTTGCTTCACCATCCTGGTTGCCATTTTCTTGATTCTTTCTGGCTTATCAATGTCCTTCCTAAAATGTGATGCCTAAGACTAAACACAGTATTCCATATATAATTAAACCAGAATACAACAGGACTTTCACTTGCCTCTTTTCAAGATATTTTCTTTCTCTTAATGTCCCCCTAAGACTGCATTAGTTCTTTTGACTTCCATACCATATAATACTCATAATGACCTTACAATCCGTTAAAACTTAGAATTATTTTAGGTGAACTAAAACAATTCTAGCTATGTCTCCCCAGTTTGGTATTTGTGAAGTTGATTTTTTTTTTTAATCCAAGTGTAAGAATTTACATGTATTTCTATTAAATTTAATCATATTTACTCTCTCATAATCTAGTATATGTATATATATACATAATATATGACAGATAGTAAGTTTCTGCCCATTCCTAGACATTCTCCCCTCCGTTACCTACTTCTATATGTATATTTCCTACTTAACTCTTTTGTAATATGAGTTACAGTTTCCCCCTAAAAATGTTTTTCCTCCTCTTGTGCCCTCCTTCCCCTTTTTGGCCCTTATTAAGTGACATCACTAACACATAGAAACCATGGCTCAGAAAGTTGAGTCCATATTCTTTTCATCTTCTTCCTTATTCACATTGTCTGTTTATAGTTTCAGATGGTACCAGATGCAGTTCCACAAAGTTGTCTCCAAAGCAAGAATTTTTGAAAGAAGTGGAACCACATGAAAAGATAACTTATAAATTTAATGGAGAAATTCCACAGGCTTCTAAAGATGGAGAAGCATGTGAACAAGGTGTCAGGTAAACATGGTGAATCAGAAAGTAATTTCATCCAGAACTCAGTCGTTATTGAAAGTCAAAGGCATCAAATAGGGGAGAAAGCCTGTGAACGTGTTGAACATGAGACAACATTTAATCACAGTACAGGTCTAGTCATCAGAAGAACCACATAGGAGACCCATCCTCTAGATGTGAAGAATGTGGGAAAACTTTTAGTTCACATAATGGCCTAATTCGACATATGAGAATCCATACTGGAGAGAGACCCTATAAATGTAATGAGTGTGGAAAAGCCTTTTGTCAGAGATCAGTCCTTAATCAACACCAGAGACTTCACAGTGGAGAGAAGCACTATCATTGTAATGAGTGTGGCAAGTCTTTCAGTCAGAATGCAGGACTTTTTAATCATCTCAAAAAACACACTGGAGAAAAACGCTTTCACTGTAATCAGTGTAGTAAAAGCTTTACTCGACAGTCAATCCTTATACAGCATCAGGGAGTTCACACCGGAGAGAAACCCTATGAGTGTAATGAGTGTGGGAAAGCCTTTGTTTATAACTCATCCCTTTGTTCGCATCAGGAAATCCACCACAAAGAAAAACGGTTTAAATGTAACGAATGTGGGAAAGCTTTCTGCAGGAGAACAAGCCTTAATGAACACCAGAAAATCTATTATGTGGAGAAATCCTTTGAAAATGATGAATGTGGGAAATCCTTCAGTCAGCGTGGAAGCCTCATTGAACATCAGAACAACCAGACAGGGGAGAAACATTATGAACATGAGGAAGGTGAGAGCTCTTTTAGTCGAAGCACAGGCCTTGCTGAGCTTCAAAACCGTTCAGCAGAGAAACACTATGACGATGACCTAAATATAAAAGGTCGTAGTCCAAGTACAGGTTTTACTCAACATCAAATGAAGAAACAGACTGAGGATAAGACAACCTATCGTCAGAGTACAGGCCTTATAGAATGTCAGACTATCCAGACTGGTGAGGAACAATTTGAAGAAGATAAGGGTAAAAGAAGCTTTGCTCATAGTACAAACATCATTGAACATTGGAGATCCTACACTATAGACCAACCATACATATGTGAAGAATGTGGAAAAACTTCCAGTGCCAAAGCTGGCCTTATTCGACGTAAGAAAATTCATACTGGGGAAAAACCCTATGAATGTGAGGAGTGTGGGAAAGCTTTTTGCCAGTTGTCAGCCCTCAATCAACATCAGTCTGTCCACACTGGAGAGAAACAGTATAGATGTAATGAGTGTGGCAAAGCCTTCAGCCAGAACACAGGTCTTTTTTTATCATCTCAGAGTCCATACTGGAGAAAAACCCTTTCAATGTAATTTATGTAGTACAAAATTTAGTCGGCACTCAATACTTACTAAACATCAGAAAATTCACTGGAGGAAGGTTTTAGTGGCATGAAAAATAGAAAATTTGCCTGCCTGCCTTTGCCTTATTGACATGTTATTCAGCACTAGGAAATTAGTGTAATGACCAAGAAGGCGAGGTAGCATTTCCAATGGAGTAAATTGGCTCCTTACTCCTTTCATACCTGAACATGCTTTGGAACAAGATGCTTAAATTCACTTGGATGCCTCTAACAGTGTTCCCTAGATTTAGTGATTGGGAAAATATTTATTATATATATCACACCTGGTTTTGGAGTTGCACCATAACTACTTGTGATAGAGTTGTGTCTAGTGCCTAATCCAAATTCTGTCAAACTACTTTGTTTCCTTGTGATTCTAAAGGTTGCTTGCTTTGCTAATGCAAAGCGTGATTAAATTGTGTCTTAGAGCCAGAATTTTTCTATATAAATCTTAAATTTTATAATGAAAATGACCAGAAAATAGAGTTCAGAATACTAATATGTAACAACAATTTTTCATTGTAGTAGTGTTCTTGGTAATAGTGTTTAATCTGGATTTTGAAGGGTACCTTTGTGTTTCATACCCTCATCGTAAACCTTGTAGGCCCTGCCTTGATTTTATCACTATGCCAAGACTGATCAGTTTTGGGAGGACTGATTGACAATAACAATGCACACAAAACTGACACTAATTAATTTATAGTGGGAGACATTGGTTCCAAGAATTGGAACTAGTCATTTCCAGAGGGCATTTTCCCTAGTTGATTGATTTATACAGGAAACCAAATTGCTAACTAGAAGTTTGCTTGTAAATACAGAATTCAGAGCTGGGGAAATTGAATGTTCTCAAATTGTATTTTTGTTAAGCTGCAGTAGTTCAGTAGAATACCTTTCTCTAGTCCAGAGTAGATGTGAAGGCTTGGGAAAAATATTTTTCCAGTATTTTCCTTGTTTCCCTCTAAAACTGAGGAGAAAAGCAAAAGTTTCCCAATTTTTTGGGTTTTCTAGTACTTCACATCTCTATGTATATTAAATAGTGATTCTATGATCAACCAAAGTTATGCATAAGATATTGTTATATTTCTTTAAAACTTTGAATTTTTAAAAATGGCCTGTATTTCCATTTCCCCCAAATGACAGTTTGTATACCTCATTTCACCCCCAGGGGTTTTAAATTTTACATTTCTCTCCAAAAAAGTAGGTCTGAAATCAGGGTACTCTCTCCATTTTGTCTAGTGTTAGAGAAGTTAGCAAATTCTTCTTCTAGATCCAGAGACCTACACTTTTTGATTTCCATGGTTCTACCTCTTTTCAAGACCTAGCAATTTTACACTGTGTATGTGTAATGTGTTCAGTAGGCTGATTCCTGATTGCCCCTAGATGGGCTTTCTGTAGCTGCTAATTTACTTTGTGTTTTGGATTCCTTGAAGTCTTACCAAGGTTCTCCCTTTTCTGACCTTACCTGTTTTTACCTTTACCTTAATGCCCTTTTTGAGAACCATCTTTTTCTTCTCTTGAATTTTATGGTAAGGAAAACATCAATAAATTTCTCATGACAATCATAACCTCTTTATTTTGATACCAGGATAAAAATACTTGACTTAAACTTGGCTATGATGTATTAATAATAAACGAAAATTATTTAAAGGTAAACTTACCAGTTGTGTGTGCTTTTTATATCTGTGGTCTTAGCTTCCCCCATGTTGACAGAGGACCATTGCTTACTTAGCATTCAGAATTCTCTCTCTGCTTATATTGCCTTCATATTCTGAAGACTTTTTTCTTACCTGTTTTGCCTCTATGACAAGAAGCTTGTTGTTTTTGTACTTCACCTGGGTCTGTGGCCAATTCAGCTATTCCCAGGTAAATGAATAACCTACCACATGAGACAAGTAGTAAGCTGTGCATCTTTATATCCCAAATGAAAGAAGCTCAAAGTGTTTGATAGTATATCAGCAGGTGATTTTTTTAAATGGACCTATGATTTCATTAGCATAGGGAACTCTTAGTGGGGAAAATTCCTCCACCAATGTAAATTGACACCTACTATGTAGTTTATAGTTGTAGAGAGTTACTTGGGGCACTAGACTTGCTCTGGGGTTGCATAGCCAATATGTTTCAGAGGTAGGTTGGTGGTAATATTTTTATGGAATGATGAGTTTTAGAAGTGTTCATTCAAAGAAATGCATTTTCCTACATTCAGCTGCAAAAATTAAGCTCTTCTTATGGGCTTGGCATTATTCTAAACCTTGGGGATTAATGAAAATTGACATAATCTTCTCCCTAGGGGCATAATGGCTGGAATACTGGACTTTAGAGTCAGTAAGATCTGAATTTAAATCCTAACTCAAGGGTTTGCTAACTGTGTGACCTTGGGCAAAGTTACTTAACCTCTTAGACTCAGTTTCTGCATCTGTAAAATAGGGATCCCACTTCCTAGGATTGTTGTAAGGAACAAATGGGATAAAGCACTTTGCAAACCTTCAAGTACTATATAAATTTTAGTTATTATGAGAGATGAAGCATGTACACAAGTCACCTTAATAAAGTTGGAATGTGAATGCATAGGAGAGGTCAGACAGGCATTTGAGGAGATTAGGATCATTTTAAGCTGGAGGTATCAGAGGCAGGTTTTATGGAGGAAATAGGACTTGAGCTAGGGAGGAGAGGTGGTTATGTTAATAAATGGCATTCTACTTTGTTCCTAGAATTTCTGATTTGGACAGCATTTTAGTGTAGTGGGAAGCATGCAGGATCTGGTGCCAGAGGTCCTGAGTTCAAATGCTGGCTCCCCTATGTGTCACAGCCCCTCCAGACCTCAGTTTCCTTTTCTGTTTAGGGAGGGGGTCAGTCAGTCAATATTAACATTTATTAAGTGCCTACATGTGTCAGGAACTGTGCTAAGCACTGGGGATCTAAAAAACATAGGCCCTGCTCTCAAGGAGCTCACAATCTAGTGGGGGAGAACAAGAAAGTAAATAGGTACAAACAAGTTATATATAGGAAGATAGAGGGGCAGCTCAGTGGCACAGTGGATCGAGCTCTGACCTTGGAGTCAGGAGAATCTGAGTTCAAATCTGACTTTAGACACTCGACACTTAATAGCTGTGTGACCTGGGCAAGTTACTTAACCCTGATTGCCTCACCCAAAAAAAAAAAAAAAATGGAAATAATTAAGAAAGGGAAAGGTACTAGAATCAAGAGAGGTTGGGAAAACTTCTTGCAGAAAATGGGATTTTAGTTGAGATTTAAAGGAAGCCAAGGAGGTCAGTAGGTAAAGATGAAGAGAAGTGCATTTCAGGCATGAGGGATAGCCAGAGAAAATGCCTGGAACTGAGATGGAGTGTTTTGTTCATTAAAAAGCCAGGAGGCCAGTGTCCCTGGATTGAAGAGAGTCATGTGGGGTAAGATTAGAAAGACATGACAAGGCTAGATTACTAAGGGCTTTGAAAGCTGGAGGACTTTGCATTTGATCCTGGAGGCCATAGGGGGCCACTGGAGGTTTTTTAGGAAATTCAGTATTTTAGGAAAATCAGTTAGTGGCTAAATGGACTGGGGTGGAGAGAGACTTGAGGCAGGCAGATCCACCAACAGGCTATTTTTTTTTTAAAGGCAATTGGGGTTAAGTGACTTGCCCAGGGTCACATAGCTAGTAAGTGTCATGTGTTTGGTCTGAGGCCAGATTTGAACTCAGGTCCTCCTAACTTCAGGGTCGGTGCTCTATCCACTGCACCACCTAGCTGCCCCAACCAGCAGGCTATTATAATAGTCCAGGTTGAAGTGATGAAGGTTTGCACCAGGGTAGTGGCAGTTTCAGAAGAGGGGAGGAGACATATTGGAAGATGTTGCAAAGGTGAAATTGACAGGCCTTGGCAACAGATTGGATATTGGGCGGGGCAGGGTTAGGTGTGAGGTGAGAGATAGTGAGAAATCTAGGATGACTCCTAGGATGAGCCTGAAGGTCTGGGAAAATGGATTGCTCTCCACAGTAATAGGGAACTTAGAAGGGGGAGAGAGTTTAGGAGGAAAAATAATGAGTTCATTTGTGGACATGTTGAGTTTAAGGTATCTACTGAACATCCAATTTGAGATGTCTGAAAGGCAGTTGGTGATTCTATATTAAAGATGAGCACAGAGATTGGGGCAGGACAGATAGATTCGAGAATCATCAGCATGGAGATGGTTATTAAATCCATGGCTGCTGATGAGATCGCCAAGTATAGAGAGAGAAGAGGGCACAGGACAGAATCCTGTGGGACACCTATGATTAGAGGGCATGATCTGGATGTGAGGATCCAGCAAAGGAGACAGAAAAGCAACAGTCTGATAAGTAGGAGAAGAACCAGGGCAGAATGGTGTCTTGAAAACAGAGTAAGAAGAGTATCAAGAAGAAGAGAGTGATCAACAGTGTCAGAGGCTGCAGGGAGGTCAAGGAGAATGAGGATTGAGAAAAGACCATAGAATTTGACAACCAGGAGATCATTGGTAACTTTGGAGAGAGCAGTTTTGGTAGGATGATAAGGTCAGAAGCTGGATTACTAGGGATTAAAAAGAAAGTGAGAGAAAAAAAGTGGAGACACTTATCGTAGATGGCTTTGTCAGGGAATATAGCTACGAAGGATAGAAAAGAAAGAACTATAGTGGGGATCAAGTGAGGGTTTTTTGAGGGTGGGGGAAAGATAAGCATATTTATAGTCAGTAGGGAATGAGTCAGTAGATGGGAAGAGATTGAAAATAAGTGATAAAATGGGAATAACAGAGGGGTTGGAATGGAATGAGATTGCTTAAGCAGGTAGAGGATCAGACTAGGTAAGGAATAAGGCCATCTCACAATGTGAGATGGGAGATAGCCCAACAGTGTTTGGCCCCATTGACTTCTAAGGTCTCTTTCAGCTTGAAATCTATGATATCAGGATCATTTGGTTTCCTACTTTGTTCTAACAAAAGTTCCATGACTTTTAGAATATTTTTGTCTCATTAAATTTAAGTTAGCTCTTTAGTCATGAAATCACCTTGAGGTTTCTGAGATCTATTCATTATTATTATCCAAAGCTGCACAATGAAATGTAGGAACAAGGCTTTCCTGATGACTCTGCTAGAGAATTCACCCAGTATCTTTTCTGGAAGGGTGAACATTTGAGAAGTTATTCCTTGGAGATAGAACACAGGTATTATTCTTTGACAGTGTTTCTGCCTCCTTTCCTGGTGTGTGCAACAATGAGTAATGACTTATTGTTGGATCTCTTTCCCAAAAAGGTTATGTGGGCAGTTTTCAGCAGGATGATGTCTTCTTTATAGAGGATAATAATAATAGATGTTTACATCGCACTTTAAGGTCTACAAATTCTTTTCCAGCTGAAATTTACAAGGCAGGGGGTCCATTGCTCATACAAAAGCTGACTGAAATCTGCCAGGTAATATGGCAAGAAGAGGTTATCCCCAGGAGTTCAAGGATGCCTCTGTTGTTCATCTTTATAAAAGAAAAGGAAATAGGTTGTCATGTGATAGTTACAGGAAATGTGGTGTTTGTTTTTTTAAACAGGAATGGGTGTTGTGTTTTGTCAAAAGTTTTTTTCTGCTTCTACTGAAATACTCAAATGATTTCAGTTGGTTTTATTATTAATATGGTCAATTATGCTCAAAATTTTCCTAATATTGAACCAGCCCTACATTTCTGGTGCAGTCTCTTTGCTAATAGTTTATTTAATATTTCTGCATCAATATTCAATAGGGAAATTGGTCTATAGTTTTCTCTCTCTGTTTTGAGTCTCATTGGTTTAAGTATGAAGACCGTATTTGTATCATATAAAGAATTTGGTACAACTCCTTTTTTTTTTTTACCATTTTTTTCCAAACATTGAAATTAATTTTTGTTTTCTTTTTTCCTTCTTTTAATTGGGTAGGGGATTGTTATTGCTGTTGTTTGTCCTTCATCCTCTCTTTTTTTTTCTCCCTTAGGCAATCGGGGTTGTGATTTGCCCAGAGTCATAGTAAGTGTTAAGTGTAGGAGGTCAGATTTAAACTCAGGTCCTCTTGACTCCAAGACTAGAGTTCTATCCACTGTGCCATCTAGCTGCCCCTGAATTAATTTTTCTTTAAATGTTTTATAGAAC